TAATGCCATTGCATGTTCTGTGGTTTCCCTCTACCTGTCTAAAGTTTTAGAGGATGGGTTGGTTTCTGTCATAGATTTGAATCAGAGTGATAGAATGCTTTAACACCAAGCAGTCCCAGTGAGGAGGTACCTCACATAGACAAGCCTTCCTTTGTCCCAGCTGGTGGCAGCAGCGTACCAGGAAATTATGACTCCAAAAGATAGTTTTGACATATTCTCTGCACATTGTTTATAAACTTCTGTCACATGTTAAGAATCAGAAACAAAAATGTCTTAATTTATATTGTATTGCAAAAATACAAAAAAAGCAAGAGCTCATCTCCCGTAAGTTGCATGCAGTAAAAATGTGCCCTCTCTTATGCAATGCAGGTTTCATAGAATAAAAGTAATCCTAAAATTAAAACAAACATCGTACCGCTCAATGTGAGTGGTGAACATGATAAACTAAATAGGGTATACGTAATAAATAAATAAAAAGATAATCACATCCTGGTTGATAACTTATTTTGCATGAAGGACCATAAAACGAAACTCGATTCTCAAAACATTACTCTTATAATTTTTATGTTGTTTTTTTGACTTCGACATTTATTTATTTACCTTAAAATAGGTGTTTTTTTGTTTGTTTTTTTTTTCTATTCCAGGTACTTCACAGCTTTCATCACGCATCATGAACCACAATTCGTGAAGCATAATGTTGTGAACCTATTAACCTATTATAGGGCAAGTTACCATTTTTGATCACTTGCAAAAGGAGTCCCCTCCGTACCTCAGTGAGGTTTAGAAGCACAAGATCTATATCCAGCCATTCAGCAAAGATACTGCTACGTGGCTGTACATCCTATTTTGGCATTTGACCAACTAGATGAACACTTGAATGATATATTACCTACCGCAAATTAATTTGAAAAAAAGGTAAAAAGTTCATTAAGGATTTAAAAAGACAAGGAAAACAGCTAATTAAAAAGTCAAGAAAATAGGTAAAAATTTAATAAAAAATTAAAAACTCAAGGAAAAAAAGGTAAAAAGCTAATTAAAAGGTCAAAAAAAAGTTAAAAAGCTGATTGAAAAGTTAAAAAGTAAAGTTAAAAAGTTCATAAGCCTCGTTAACAATTATATTTAGGTTTACAAACTAAAAAATGTAAGTGCCAGTATCAGCATTAATGCCTCTAAGGTTATGTTTTACCAAAAAAAAAAATACGTGTTTTTTTGTGTTTTTCATGATTTTATTATAGAAGCACTTATTTTTGTTATTTTTCTTAATATATTCGGACAAGTTGGCGTTTCTTGTTATTACATTGACATTCATTTTTGCCATCAAAATTTTACAAAGATAATAAGGTCTTGTCCTGGATTCCAATAACACTAATGGCTTGAAATGTGGATTTTCAAAGGATTTCACTGAGTGCCCTATAAAGGGTTAAAGATATTTGAGACCAGATTAGTGATATACAGGCTGGGGCTGCTCACCAAGTGTATGGTGAACAAATTTCAATTATTCAATTATTATTGAGTTATTGAAGTTATTCACTCCCTTCCCTCTAAATGTATTGCTCCTAAAGTCAAGAGAACCTGTCACGCCTTGCTCAATGTAAAGCAGCCAATCAGACATCACAGTTTCTTATGAAACCACCCTAAACCCGCCCCCTGAGTTTGATTGATGAAGTTCACAGTTCAAAAAATATAATTATGAATATACTACTATGGAGGACCAATCCTGCCATAATTAAAAATACAGAAATAAATAAATGCTCAAAAATAAATAAGCATACAATTAAATGCCCCCCCAAAATAAAATAAACAAATAATATACAGTGAGACATAAATATATAAATCTCTTTTAATTAACTTCTTTGTTTATTTGCCTTTGTAATAATTACCTTATTTATTTCTTGTCCGTTATATTCTTCAACTTTATTTATCTATTACTAGAAGGACACCATAAAAAAAAACAGGACAAAATGATATAATTCATAGCCAAAATAGATTTATTTAGCAAAATTATACAATAATTGTATTGCAAATGTATTCAATGAAACTGCATGCTTTTATCTATTGGTATATGTATGATTTTTTGTAACATATATGTCTATATATAAATGTGTGATGGCATTAATTTTGCACTAGATGGTGCTATTATATATATACATATACACACACATATATATATATATATATATATATATATATATAAACACACACACATACTGTATATATATGCACACACT